TGGAGTGTTTCAAACAGCACTACATTAAACTGCACTAGGAAATCTTTGGTAGGCACCAGCAGGGCCTATGTGGACAAATTAATGCACAACATGTTTGTATGCTTTAGAAATCACACTCCCGTAGTCCACATTACTACTCTATCTAGACAAGCCCTTAGATATAAGTAATCATTTCCAGTGTTTTTCCAGTGTTTATTGGATAAAACTGAAAATCTGAAGTCCTACATGTTCATCACCATAGTACCTTCTAGTAATGCATTAAGCAACACGACTACACATCTGTCATGTGTGTGTTCTCTCACTCTCTCCGTAGAAAGAGGAACCGGCTGTGATTCTGCAATAGGAGATCTGGCCAGAGGGGCAGTTAAAGCGGAGTCGTCACCAACAGGTCCATGAGTGAGCCAAACCAGTGCTGGAGAGGCCAAGCTGGGGCTATCGAGATAATTTTGGCCTTGTTCTGCCTTGTCCTGAGTGATCTTCATGAGGACTTTGTGAAGCAACAACAACAGCAGGAAAGTGCACATCAGAGCGCCTGACCACGGAAGTAGAAAGGTGTCCGAAAAGGAGCCTCTATTGACCCCGCAAAACGAGCAGAATAGGTGGCCCTTCCTGTTCTGGTGAGTCATGAACAAGTCTACCTGGGGAGACCCCCACTTTCGGAAGATCTGGTCGACCACATCAGGATGGGGAGACCACTGGTGGCGAGACAAAAAGGTCCTGCTGAGGCAACCTGCCAATAAGTTTCGGGTTGCGGGAAGGTGCACTGCTACGAGATGAATGGCATGATGCACACAAAAGTCACATAGTTTGAGGGCTTCCTGGCAGAGGGCTGACGATCTGGCTCTGCCCTGCTTGTTGATATAAAACATCATGGCCATGTTGTCCATCAGGACTTGAACCACTGGGCCTTGTAACTGAGACCAAATAGCCTGGCAGGCCAGGTAAACCATCCTGAGCTCTCGGACATTTATGGGGAAGGAGTGGTCAACCCCCGATCAGCAACCCTGTGGACTGAATTCGCCCAGGTGGGCTCCCCAGCACAGGGCAGAGGCATTGGACACCAGAGTTAGCGAAGGGGCCGGGGCCGCGAAGGGGACTCCCTGCAACACCAATGCGGGATCCAACCACCACGCCAGTGATGCCCGGATGTGGTCTGGCACCTGAACTACCAGGTCTAGGTCGAGCCTGTTGTGGATGTAGACCGACACCAACCACGCTTGCAGTGGCTGGAGGTAGAGCTGGGCACGACGGACCACATAAGTACAGGCAGCGATGTGGTGTACCAGCTTTAGACAAGTGCAGGTGGTGGTGAGCGGGTGGCCCCTCACACAGGAGATTACATCCGACATGGCTCAGAAACAGTTCTCTGGAAGGAATGCATGAAATCGAGAACCGCCCCAATAAACTCTATCCGTTGCACTGGTACGAGGGTGGATTTATTTTCATTTACTAACAGGCCCAGATCATGGCATGTGGGCTGCTCTGCACATCCCAGGCCATCTGGAGAGAGCACTGAGCTGCTGCGGCACCCTCTTCCACAAGGGCCCCAAACTCTTGGGCCACCTCCTGGGGCATGGAGTCCTTAAATTTGTGAAGGGAGTCCCACCAGTTAAAATTATAATAACCCAAAAGAGCCTGGTGGTTCGCATTCCAGAATTGGAGACTAGCTGCGGAATAAATTTTTTTTCTAAAAAGTTCCAGTCTCTTGGCCTCCTTATTTTTGGGGGTGGAACTGGCATGTCCTTGCTTATCCATTTTGTTGGCCCAACACAACCAACGACTCCAGGGAAGGGTGGGTATATAAATATTCGAACACCTGGGCGGGGAAAAAATACTTTTTCTCAGCCCTCTTGGAAGTGGGCGGGATGGCGGACTGGGTTTGCCAGAGGCTTTGGCAATGTTCAGGACCCCTTCATGCACTGGGAGCACAACACGTGCGGGGGTAGACACGGATAGCACATTGAACAAAGTATCTGATTGCTCCGCCATCATTTCTACCTCAGGGTCTAAGTTAGTGGCCACCCATCAGAGCAGGGCTTGGTGCTCCTTAAAGTCATCCAGTGGGCTAGTATGGGAGGGCCCCACCACCACCTTGTCTGAAGAAGAGGAGGATGACTGAACCACTGCGGGGAGGGCCTAGGGCATCATCCCCCACTGGGGAAGAGAGTCTCAGGGTGGGCACCTGTTCTTCCACCTCAGCACCCACCGGCACTTCCTGCAGTGAGCCCGGTGCCCCCGGTGCTGTCAGTGCTGGCTGGGGTTTGTCCAATGTGGTGACCAAGGACTGGTGAGATGGGGGCATTGGCATAATTGGCCTGACCCCGGGATTCCAGTAAGGCCACTGTGCTGCCCACTAGCCTTGCTGTGGCAAATGCAACCTCTGGAGCCCAGTCATGGTGGTGCTGTCTCGGTGAGGGACTGAACTCCCTCTCCATGCCAGAGAAATCCTCCTTTGGAGACAAGGGCAGGGCCATCGACTCTTGAGTCTGGCGGCTAACCATCACCATGGTGACTGGTGCCTCAAATGGTCAGATCGGTGCCAGGAGTTGGGGGAGAAGCACCGTGCTGCAGACAGTCCCTGAGGTCTCAGTGACGGTGAAAATCGGCACGAAGATGACCAGTGCTGACTGTAAGGCAACTGGCATCTCCCTCTGGGTGCTGGTGATCTATAACAGCGAACCAGTGACCTGAGCTGATGTGGAGACCAATCACGCAGCAACAAAGGGCTCTGCCTCGGCTCCGGAGACCGGCGGCACTCAATCGCCTTCCGAAAGGCCTTCATGACTGGCTTGCCCTCGTATGGAGCCTTCACAACCAACGACTCCAGGGGAATCCATCACTGCATGAGGTGCTGGCTGCGGTGGAAGAGTCCATTGCTCCCTGGGTACCAGGGGCTGAGAGGCCGTTGATTGTGCCATCAGCCTGGGTCACCTCCTGCTCCCCGGAGTCAGTTGTGGATCCCTTAAGGGGGTAGTAGGTATCCATGGAGGCAGGCCCCTTGTGGCTCAGGCGTGGGCAGGTGGCCCAAGCAGGGTCCTTTGCCCAATGCCCCTTGATCCGACTTGCTCAGTGCTAGGTCCCTCTTCTTAGTCTTCTTCTTGGGTACCGGCGAAGGGGATCGGTGCCGGGAAGAGCCCATTACTGGGGGTGCGCGATGCACCAAGGCCGAAGTGCTGGGCGTTGCGTCCGTCCAGGCCAGCTCCGAGGCTAGGCGGTGAGCGGCCTCCATTAGAAGGGCCCTAAAGCAAATGTCACGTTCTTTCTGTGTCCTGGGATGAAAGTTCTTACAGATGCAACACTTCTCTTTAGCGTGAGATTCTCTCGGACAGTTCAGACAGCTACCATATGGGTCATTAACAGGCATAGGTCTGCTGCAGTCAGAACGGGGCTTAAAACCAGGGACTGGGGCATGCCCTGCCTGGGTCAAAGTCCCCACTGGGACCCTCACTGACCAACTACAGTACTTAACACCTACTGTAATGAGAGATTTTGCTTTTAGCTGTTTAGAAATACCTTACAGCACCTTAAATAGAGGCTTGCAGTAAAACCTCATAAAGGATTTAAATAGCATAAAAATCTTATCTTTCCAGATTGCATAATTAGGGTGATGACAGTATCAGGGCACTTTGGTTTGCATAAAGCAATGGTTAGTTTTAAGATTAAGGCTTTAAATAAGTAAAAATTAGTGATAGTTTAAATTTAGAAGATACAATATGGTGGACCAAAATGGCAGATATAGGGATGATGTAGTAGTAGAGAATGATCTTCCAGAACTTTCTAGAACCTTCTAGAAACTTCTGGAATCCAAGATGACATCTTGTGGGGGGTGAAGCTGGCAGGCAAGCAAGCATATGTGGGTACATGTGACCAAGCACATGTATGTACATGTGACCATGTGATGTCATAGGAGAGGGGCTGGAAAGCTGGAAGCTGATTGGCTGAGACAGGCCAATAAATTACGTTAATGAGCAGACCTGGAGAGAGCAACCAGTATATAAGGCCGACAGCCAGCACACTGTAGTGGGTTTGGGATCCTCAAGAAGAACAGAAGCTGCAAGACTCCTCTGAAGAAAAGAAGCTACCTGAAGAACATCTACCTGGAAAGAAAAGGGTTTTAGCCAGGTTTTGGGTGAAGTCTTGCAAGGCTCTGGGTGGGATTTGCTTTGGGGTCTGAGGGAGCCACTGCCTGCAAGGAGCCTCAAGCAGCAGTCCAGCAGCAGGAGACTCCTGAGGTTGCCCTGACAACGGCTGCTATAGCAACCAAACCAACAGTCTACCTTAGCAGCAGCTCTTAACTGCCGCTGGAGGGTAACCGTTGTGGCCTCAGTCGTCTGCCAGAACCAGCTCTGACAGCTTCCTGAGGGAAGACAACGTCCCTGACAACATCTCCATTTTTAGATAGAAGGACCTTTGACCGTTCAGTGGTACTTAAGAATAACAGAAGTGCAATTCTCCATCTATTATTCAGGAATGTGTGGGTTTCGCCTGTAAATAAAGCTGGATGCCAGTGGTTTGAGTGAGATCTTCCCCTACCCAGTGGTTATTGGATGTTAAATGTTAGCGTTAAGGGAATGATCACACTGTTATATGTTATGTATGGTATATAACCTGTGTCTTTTATTTGCTGTGCCACTTTATTTTAATATGTAATTCCGTTACATTTTATCATGCTTTACTCATTTCTTCTTTTTCTGTAAATACCTAATTCCTTCAATAAACTATTTCTGTTTTCAAAGAATTTCTGCTTCTGTGTCTATCCTTGTGTGGAAGGCTGTATCCACATCCTTCCAGGGGTTAGCAAGACTAGCTTGCTCTGGGGAGCCCTCTGCGGGTCAGAGACAAGCCCCCTAGTAATATTCTGGTAATTCCTTTAGAGCGGGCCGCAACCTTGTTTATCCTTTAGTTAAAATGTAGCCAAAATTGTAGGTAACATAATTGGCATCTAAAATCTGAGGGTAACACTACTTAGCCCTGGTCTACACTAGGACTTTAGGTCGAATTTAGCAGCGTTAAATCGATTTAAACCTGCACCCGTCCACACAATGAAGCCCTTTATTTCGACTTAAAGGGCTCTTAAAATCGATTTCCTTACTCCACCCCTGACAAGTGGATTAGCGCTTAAATCGACGTTGCCGGCTCGAATTTGGGGTACTGTGGACACAATTCGATGGTATTGGCCTCCGGGAGCTATCCCAGAGTGCTCCATTATGACCGCTCTGGACAGCACTCTCAACTCAGATGCACTGGCCAGGTAGACAGGAAAAGAACCGCGAACTTTTGAATCTCATTTCCTGTTTGGCCAGCGTGGCAAGCTGCAGGTGACCATGCAGAGCTCATCAGCACAGGTGACCATGATGGAGTCCCAGAATCGCAAAAGAGCTCCAGCATGGACCGAACGGGAGGTACGGGATCTGATCGCTGTTTGGGGAGAGGAATCCGTGCTATCAGAACTCCGTTCCAGTTTTCGAAATGCCAAAACCTTTCTGAAAATCTCCCAGGGCATGAAGGACAGAGGCCATAACAGGGACCCGAAGCAGTGCCGCGTGAAACTGAAGGAGCTGAAGCAAGCCTACCAGAAAACCAGAGAGGCGAACAGCCACTCTGGGTCAGAGCCCCAAACATGCCGCTTCTATGATGAGCTGCATGCCATTTTAGGGGGTTCAGCCACCACTACCCCAGCCGTGTTGTTTGACTCCTTCAATGGAGATGGAGGCAATACGGAAGTAGGTTTTGGGGACGAAGAAGATGATGATGAGGAGGTTGTAGATAGCTCACAGCAAGCAAGTGGAGAAACCGGTTTTCCCGACAGCCAGGAACTGTTTCTCACCCTAGACCTGGAGCCAGTACCCCCCGAACCCACCCAAGGCTGCCTCCTGGACTCAGCAGGCAGAGAAGGGACCTCTGGTGAGTGTACCTTTTAAAATGCTATACATGGTTTAAAAGCAAGCATGTGAAAGGATTACTTTGCCCTGGCATTTGCGGTTCTGCCTTTGCAAAAGGTTTCTGGGGAGGGCAGCCTTATTTCGTCCTTCATGGTAGGACACTTTACCACTCCAGGCCAGTAACACGTACTCGGGAATCACTGTAGAACAAAGCATTGCAGTGTATGTTTGCTGGCATTCAACCAAAATCCGTTCACGCGGTGGGAGGAGGCAAAATGCGACCTTGTAACGAAAGCACATGTGCTATGTATGTAATGTTAACAGCAAGGTTTACCCTGAAAGAGTGTAGCCACTGTTTTATAAAATGTGTCTTTTTAAATACCGCTGTCCCTTTTTTTTTTCTCCACCAGCTGCATGTGTTTCAATGATCACAGGATCTTCTCCTTCCCAGAGGCTAGTGAAGCTTAGAAAGAAAAAAAAACGCACTCGCGATGAAATGTTCTCCGAGCTCATGCTGTCCTCCCACACTGACAGAGCACAGACGAATGCGTGGAGGCAAATAATGTCAGAGTGCAGGAAAGCACAAAATGACCGGGAGGAGAGGTGGCGGGCTGAAGAGAGTAAGTGGCGGGCTGAAGAGAGTAAGTGGCGGGCTGAAGACAGGGCTGAAGCTCAAAGGTGGCGGCAGCGTGATGAGGGGAGGCAGGATTCAATGCTGAGGCTGCTGCAGGACCAAACCAGTATGCTCCAGTGTATGGTTGAGCTGCAGCAAAGGCAGCTGGAGCACAGACTGCCACTGCAGCCCCTCTGTAACCAACCGCCCTCCTCCCCAAGTTCCATAGCCTCCACACCCAGACGCCCAAGAACGCGGTGGGGGGGCCTCCGGCCAACCAGCCACTCCACCACAGAGGATTGCCCAAAAAAAAGAAGGCTGTCATTCAATAAATTTTAAAGTTGTAAACTTTTAAAGTGCTGTGCTTAAAGTGCTGTGTGGCATTTTCCTTCCCTCCTCCACCACCCCTCCTGGGATACCTTGGTAGTCATCCCCCTATTTGTGTGATGAATGAATAACGAATGCATGACTGTGAAGCAGCAATGACTTTATTGGCTCTGCAAGCAATGATTAAAGGGAGGAGGGAAGGGTGGTTAGCTTACAGGGAAGTAGAGTGAACCAAGGGGCGGGGGGGTTCATCAAGGAGAAACAAACAGAACTTTCACACCGTAGCCTGGCCAGTCATGAAACTGGTTTTCAAAGCTTCTCTGATGCGTACCGCGCCCTCCTGTGCTCTTCTAACCGCCCTGGTGTCTGGCTGCGCGTAACCAGCAGCTAGGCGATTTGCCTCAACCTCCCACCCCGCCATAAACGTCTCCCCCTTACTCTCACAGATATTGTGGAGCACACAGCAAGCAGTAATAACAGTGGGAATATTGGTTTCGCTGAGGTCTAAGCGAGTCAGTAAACTGCGCCAGCGCGCCTTTAAACGTCCAAATGCACATTCTACCACCATTCTGCACTTGCTCAGCCTGTAGTTGAACAGCTCCTGACCACTGTCCAGGCTGCCTGTGTATGGCTTCATGAGCCATGGCATTAAGGGGTAGGCTGGGTCCCCAAGGATACATATAGGCATTTCAACATCCCCAACAGTTATTTTCTGGTCTGGGAATAAAGTCCCTTCCTGCAGCTTTTGAAACAGACCAGAGTTCCTGAAGATGCGAGCATCATGCACCTTTCCCGGCCATCCCACGTTGATGTTGGTGAAACGTCCCTTGTGATCCACCAGAGCTTGCAGCACTATCGAAAAGTACCCCTTGCGGTTTATGTACTCGGCGGCTTGGTGCTCCGGTGCCAAGATAGGGATATGGGTTCCGTCTATAGCCCCACCACAGTTAGGGAATCCCATTGCAGCAAAGCCATCCACTATGACCTGCACATTTCCCAGGGTCACTACCCTTGATATCAGCAGATCTTTGATTGCGTGGGCTACTTGCATCACAGCAGCCCCCACAGTAGATTTGCCCACTCCAAATTGATTCCCAACTGACCGGTAGCTGTCTGGCGTTGCAAGCTTCCACAGGGCTATCGCCACTCGCTTCTCAACTGTGAGGGCTGCTCTCATCTTGGTATTCATGCGCTTCAGGGCAGGGGGAAAGCAAGTCACAAAGTTCCATGAAAGTGCCCCTACGCATGCGAAAGTTTCGCAGCCACTGGGAATCGTCCCAGACCTGCAACACTATGCGGTCCCACCAGTCTGTGCTTGTTTCCCGAGCCCAGAATCGGCGTTCCACAGCATGAACCTGCCCCATTAGCACCATGATGCATGCATTGTCAGGGCCCATGCTTTCAGAGAAATCTGTGTCCATGTCCTGATCACTCACGGGACCGCGCTGACGTCGCCTCCTCGCCCGGTATCGCGTTGCCATGTTCTGGTGCTGCATATACTGCTGAATAATGCGTGTGGTGGTTAATGTGCTCCTAATTGCCAAAGTGAGCTGAGCAGGCTCCATGCTTGCCGTGGTATGGCGTCTGCACAGGTAACTCAGGAAAAAAGGCGCGAAATGATTGTCTGCCCTTGCTTTCACGGGGGGGGGAGGGAGGGAACGGGGGGCTGACGATATGTACCCAGAACCACCCGCGACAATGTTTTAGCCCCATCAGGCATTGGGATCTCAACCCAGAATTCCAATGGGCAGCGGAGACTGCGGGAACTGTGGGATAGCTACCCACAGTGCAACGCTCCAGAAGTCGACGCTTGCCTCGGTACTGTGGAAGCGCTCCGCCGAGTTAATGCACTTAATGCACTTTAGAGCATTTTCTGTGGGGACACACACACTCGAATATATAAAACCGATTTCTAAAAAACCGACTTCTATAAATTCGACTTAATTTCGTAGTGTAGACATACCCTTACTAACTAATCTACTATTAAACAAACTATTTACAGCTGGAACACGAGGTTCAAAGAATAGGGAAAAAACCGCTGACAACGTGCAAAGCAAGGGAAAGAGGCACTCCAACCAACCACCACAGGCAATAAGAAGGAACTGAGAGGGTGTAGGGCTGGCAGCCCCTGAGATACTGACGCATGAGTGCAGCACCCAAGGGGGCACAACAGCCAGCTCTATGGATACTGCTAAGGCAAAAGTCTCTGACAACTGTGCACATGCACACGCCTAGAATGGAATCAACATGATCAAGAACTCGAAGAAAAATCAAAATTACTAGCTTGCCCCCAGAGTGGTGGATTTAAAAAACTGCTATTGAGAATGTGGAAGAAAATCTTCACAACATTCTTTCAATTTTGAAGCAGCCCAAATTTGGGTCAGAAATTAACTAACTGTGGGCCTCTTAGTGCTGCCTTTTCACAGCTGAGGTAAGTGTTGTTAACATCTTTATTGGATGACTTGAGAAGGAACAGGAATAATGCTTCTCATCTCGCCTCTTCCTTCCTTTCATATTCTGATTAACAAGTTGATTATCTCACTAATATGTTGGGACCGGAACCTATACATCATCTTCAACTCCTCACTCTTTCTCCTGTTGAATCCAAGCTTGTGCCAAGTCTGGTGTCTTCTTCCTGTAAAATAATGTTGAAATCTACTCTTTCCTCACTGATAGAGTCTCATCCATACCGTGTTCAACACTTGGTCTGTTTACAGTAGATTTTTCCTCCATGACTTTACACCTCTCTTCACTCTACCGCAAGGCCCTATCTTTATCTCTGTTGTGACTTCCTTCTACTCTCCTATGAATCCTCTTTCCTCACTGTTCCCTTCATCTCCTACTCATATGCTTGGTTACATGCTGAACTTGACCCTAATGCTTGGACAGTATCCAGAAGCAAAAACACCAATGACCAGATTTTTAGAGGTGTTGAATCCTTACTGGCTTCAATAGACATAAATGCCCTCTTCCAATTCTCTCCTTGAAAACTAATTTCTCCTCAAAACCCTGCTTACCTTTTTTCTTCACCGATAATTTCTGAGTACCGTCCTTGACTTAAAGAGTTTCCTTTTGTCTCTTCTTGTCAAGCTTTGTCTTTCAGCATGTAAGAATGGAGCCTGTTCTGTTTGTAAAGTACTGAATCAGTTTGTGTTGAAACATAAAAATAAAATACTGATTCCTGCAAGAAATGTTATTTATTCCAACGATATTACATTTCTTCTCCCTGTCTTTATACCCTGAAATTAGAAGTGTCAGCTGTGCAAGCAAAACATTGCCATGTGTAGCTTAGTCATGTTATTATCCATGATAGAAACAAGTCACAGATGCAGTGAGTGAGTTCTCTCTTCTACCCACTCCACAACCACATCAATTAAACCACACTATGCGTGCGGCAGTTACACAGATATTTGCACTCCTATTGCTCACCGAGAATTTTGTATTACAGGCTCACTGTCCTTTAGAACAAGAGTCAATCAGCCTTCAAACAGTAAACCACAGGTTCCCTCCTACTTCTTAATTACATGCAACCATCACAAAGTCACCCTAGCGGGAGAGAGTTTTCACCTAAAGGCAGTGGTGAGCTGGAGCCGGTTCGCTAGAACTGGTTGTTAAATTTAGAAGCCATTTCAGAACCCGTTGTCCAAGGAACAACTGGTTCTAAAAGGGCTTCTAAATTTAACAACCAACCAAAAGTGGTGCCTTAGGTGCCAACTCAGTGGGTGCTCCGGGGCTGGAGCACCCACGGGGAAAATTTGATGGGTGCAGAGCACCCACCGGCAGCTCCCTGCCCCGCGCCCAGCCCCAGCACTCTGCTCCGCCTCCACCTCTTCCCCTGAATGCACCGCCCCGCTCTGCTTCTCTGCCCCCCCACCCCAGCTTCCCGCAAATCAGCTGTTCACATGGGAAGCTGCGGGGGCTGAGAAGCAGGTGGCAGCTTTGCACTCAGGCCCAGGGAGGCGGAGGTGGAGCGGAGGTGAGCTGGGGCGCGAGGAGGGCCGCCCACACCGCAGCAAGTAATTGCGGGAAGCCGGAGGAGGGGGCAGAGAAGCAGAGCGGGGCAAGGCGTTCAGGGGAGGAGGCGGAGCGGAGGTGAGGTAAGCTGGGGCCGGGAGCGGGGCAGGAAGCTGCTGGTGGGTGCTCTGCACCCACCAAATTTTCCCTGTGGGTGCTCTAGCCCTGGAGCACCCATGGAGTCAGCGCCTAAGGAGCCACTTTTGATGTGATCAGTGGGGGGAGCGGTTGCTCCACCTGCTCCCCCCCAGCTACGCTCCCCCACCTCTAGGAACCAGAGGGACCTGCTGGATGCTTCCTGGGAGCCACCCCAGGTAAGCACCACCGGGACTCCCCACCTCACCCCCCGGCATGTCCTTCTGGTTCTTAGGGGTGGGGTGGGCACCCACTACGGTGGCCCACAAGACCCTCCTGACCAGTTTTGGGGGCAGTCAGGGGACAGGGGAGGGGGGTGGATGAGGTAGGGGTCCGGGGGGGGCATCAAGGAACACGGGGGGTTGGATGGGGCAGGAGTCCTCGGGGGGCGGGGATGGGCCATGACCCCCTCGTGGAGTGAGGAGGAAACCGGTTAAGATTTTGGCAGCTCATCACTGCCTAAAGGTTAATAAATGTATGGTGTACACAAGTGGTGTTCCTTGTAAATACTCATCTGGACAGGACATTGCTACTGTTATCTCAGTGATATCTTGAAAGTTTATACAAATTTTTGGGTTTCAATATTGAAATCCATCTTGGAATTTTGTACTGTATTTTCACATACTGTGTACAGCAGGGGTTTCCCTCTTCCGCATCTCACAATGCAAACAATCTAATTGCTTGTCCTGGGACAGATTCTGATGTCATTCCTCACAATGGACAGCAACTTACTCCATGAATGGTCCCACTGACTTCAATGGAACTAATTGTATAGCAAGATGCTATTCAGCCTGAAGAAAAGTATCAGAATCTAGCCCTGTGGCTTCACAACTTGGATCTCAATTTGTAGAAATGTCACCCACCCACATCAGCAGGTGGGGAAATTGATGGGGCCACTAGTGAAAGAGG